AGGGACCACTCCTGGTACTTCATCTACAAAAACAGTTTTACACTTCTAGGAATCTAATAATTTTTAATGTAAATATTGTATCTCAAAAATAATATTGTCCATTTTCAAAACTATTCCATGTTGCTGGCCTACATGGAGAGCATGCTGCAATGTGATTGGTTATTTAGAGACCTGAATTTAGGTCATTGGCTACTAGAAAATATTTCTAAATTAGACAACTTCCACAGTAGCTGTCTTTAAATTAAAAACAAACCAACCAACCAACCCACAAAAAAAACCCACCACACAAGAAAACCCACAAAAAAACAAACTACATCTTTTTTTACAAAAAAACTTTGTGTGCGACAATGGTTTCCTCTGGCAGTGCAGGCTTTAGCTTTCCTTTAGAAACTGCAGTTAGCAATGCCAGCTGAAGTGGTTCAGCACATCCAGTGATGTCTTGGACCACTACAGCATCGCACCTGGCAGACGTGCTGTACTGTAACATGTCAGATGTACCTGGCAGATGGGTAGGGTTCACTACAGAAATCTTTATTTGTATGCAGATTGATAATCAGCTGTGATAGAAAATAGAAGAACAGATATCTTGCTAATGGGAAGTTACCGGCACAGTATTTTTATCTTCTGTTGCTATTGCTGGTGCAGCTACTTTATAGAAGAGCTGTGTTAGTAAAGGTCGTGCAATCCAGGGTGATCAAATTACCACCAATCAGCAGAAACACTGTAACTATATGCATGTTTCTGGCTCTCTTCAACTGTAGGCTAAAACATAGTTACTTTAAACCTGGGCCACGGAAGCACAAAGCTTTGGTTGGTATGACCATACCCGTTATAAAACAAGCGTGTGTTGTTTTTTTTTAAATGCGATGTTACAGATTTTTTTACATGTTAAGTGGGCAACATATGTAGGTATGACATTGCTGGTCCTGTGACTTTTTTAAGCTCTGAATTCTTACTGTGACTAATAATAATGTGTAAGCTAAAATAATATTTGGGGATTGCGATTCATACTAACTAACACTGAGCTTGTATTTTAAGTAATCAAATCTCAATTTTTGAGCTGCTTACAGTGATATGGACGTTTGGATTTTTTTTGTAATATTAGTTTACTAACTTAAACATGGTTTGTTTTTTCAGACAACTTGATTTTAAGAAGAACGGTACAAATGTAAGGTTTCAAGTCTGCCTGGGCTAATTCTTCAAGTAAAAAGCAGAAGGGCTAAAAGGATATTGTCCTTATTTGAAGGATCGGAAACATGTGAACCTATGATGCTATTATATTATTTAAACAGAAATTCCACCAAGAAATTCCTGATGCACAAAATGAGACGTAGCTCTTGCCTAAGAACCTTACTATCTGGTTTAACATTTTAGTCTTTGTGGCATTATGTATTATATGCTGTGCACATAACACTATTTTTTTTCCCCTAGACTTAAGATAATGAATCTGGTCTCGAAAGCTAGGCATCTCCGTAATATCATGTAGTTCGATGTTTTAGGTTACTGTGCCTCACAACTCCCGTATTGAGGATAGCTGTTGACACAATGCAGCTCTTTCTTGGTGGTTAATTAAAACTGTTTTCATAATATGATGGTCTGGATGCAATTTTGGAAGATACTCTGCAAATACGAAAGGAAGTCTTAAGAATAAAATATTACTTTTAGCTGTTTGCAAACAAGTTGTCTCTTTGCAATTGTCTATTATATGCACAGCAGCCAGTAGAATTCCCCTTTTTATTTTTTTTCCCCGCAGACCATCTTGATTCAAAACATCTATCGTAACCCCCAAAACAGTGCACAGACGGCTGACGGCTCACACTGTAAGTCCCACAGTTGGAGAAATTTTTTTAAAGAATGGTGTTAAAGAGCCCACTCCTAATTATGAGAAAATAATGTTGGCTTCTGAGCTGCTGACATAAAGCTGTTGCAAACAGGACAAGTGACGGAACTCTTCTTGCGCATAGATCAAGAACTTGTCAAATGTGTGCAATTCAGAACGCAGGATTGACTGCATAAATTGGACTTGATGCAGATTCTCTTTTGCACTGCAAAGTGAATCTTGATTGCTTAGTAACGCTGCATTCTTTTTAAAGGGTTAAACTGCAGACATTTCTCAAATTCTTGATTTAAGAAAAAAAAAAATAGGTATATATGTGATGTACGGTAAGTTTCCCAAAACTGTGGGTTTTCTTTCATCTTAACTTTTTTAGGAAAATGGAGATTTCATGTTATGCTGTAATTATTGTATTACTTCCTTCCCTGGGGTTTTGCTACTAAGAAACCATTCAGTAAAACCAAAGCCAAACAAATTATTATGCTTCTAATTTGAATACTGTGTTTGGATGCCATCTATTACATATCTGCTTGAAACCATGCAAAACCCCTCTATAATAATATTGGTGAATAAAATTTAAAAAAAATACAATAATGGAGTATCATGAGATCTCTATTACTTTACAGTGTTAGGTTGATTCAGAAAGGTCACCAGCTAAGTGAAAGTTCTCCTTCTTGGGAGAGAATAACCACCTCTCTTTCAGCACAGACTCGGCTAAAGCGACCCTAAAGGAAACCGGTTTCTTGTTAAAATTATTTTCCATAATATAAAGTTGTTGCGTTTTGTATTTCAGACCATTGCCCTCTTGAACATTTACCGTAACCCTCAAAACTCTTCCCAGTCTGCTGACGGTTTGCGCTGTAAGTTCATACAAGTTCCTTCACTGGTTCCCTGGGCTTGATTGTCAGAGCTCAGTGTCGACTTAAGCTGGTCTACCATTTTAGTTTAACAGATCAAACTGACCACGTTTCATTAAATGTGTTCAAAACAAACACACAAAAAAAAACCCCAAAAACTTTTTTGCCCCACTTACCTTCCTCCCTACTCCCAAAACTATGAGGGGAATCTGAATACCATCTATCAAATCAAAAAGGGTTGAAATTGTACCTCCCCTGAAAAGCAGTCCAGGTTGCACTGCTTTCTTCACTCCGCCTTTCTCCCTGCCAGTTGCCTGCATCCTAGGAATGCTTTTCTGTATGTTTTGTGCTATCCATTAGGTTCCACTGGCTAAAAGAGCAGGACAATGACACGTTGACTTCATCCAGAACAAATTTCCTGCTCTGTAAATGTTAAAGAGAACTTGAATTTGAAACTTCAGACTGCATGCAGAAATTTGTCCTAGGTTAATGCAGCTTCCATTTAGAGTCTACTTTGGAAGAATACACTTTGACTGACAACACTTCCTTTCTGGCAGCTGTCCTTTTTGGATAGGTGCATGCTTAAAATTCCTTCCATGCTTTGAAAATTCAAATTCCAAAACCATGTTGCATATTTACCTAGGAAAATATATCTTTAACAGTACTTTTGAGGAGGGGAAGGCATTTGGGTATGGTCATGAACTAATTTAATGACTCCTCATGAGGTAGGAATGGGCATAAGAAAACACACCTACTGTGAGACTGGCAGAAGTTAAATGACCAGGATTGTTGATCGGCGATTACTGATATATCATTGTGATCGAATCATCAATATTAGAATAAGATTTTTTAAAAAAAAAAAAAGTTTTAGGACCAAAAAGGATCGGTGTTATTTTCTAACTAATATTTCTTGGTGAAGTGAATATTGACTGTGTGGTAATAAAGCTTTGTTTGGCTATTCCTTTTTTTGACTGTTGGATTATAGACTAGTTCAGATTAGTTACCAGCATTTGATTAGACATGCTTTGTGAAATCAGCCACTAACTTAAAAGTCAACACTGTCTCTTCTGCTTCTAAAAGTAATAATGGCCCAATTAAGTAATTTGAGTTTTTTGTCACGCAATCAAGCTAGATACATAATGAGCTATGTAAGTTTGTGTAGATGCTTAAACAGTTCTATTGGTTTGTAGGCTTTCTTGTTGCAGATGCTTAGTAGTTAATGCTGTTTCAGTAAACCAAAAAATTTACAGTTGGGCATTTCCACTCTGTCCCTAAATTCTCAATGCGCTGGTAACTAATTTGCACAGAGTTACAGCAGTTTGGTCTGTGGAGCTGTTTAGATTGTACAGCTGCAAGAGTCTTGAACAGATTCTCTAGCGTTCTAAATGCTGGTATCCAACTTTAGTTTGTCTTGACAAGCGGGTAGCTGTTGAACAGAGCCTAACTGTACCTTCTGTGGTAGAGCTGGAGCTCTGGTATCAGTAGGTTTGCTGAAACTCCTGGCTCCCTGGTTTTTTCGATATTTGTCCCTACTTAAGTACTGCATGTATTTTAAATGGGTAACTTGGGTAGCTATTTAATGCTTTTGTTGTTGTTGCTTAACTGTCTTCCTTTCTATTGCCGTCGTAGAGGATTAACCTTAGTTTTGAACAGCAATAGTTTTCTTGAGTATTTTAATTAGTAATTGGGCTTCTCAAGGTTCAGATACCGGTAGCCCTGGAATATGAATGTTTGTAAAGCCTGTGCATATGTATGCTTCCCACTTTAGAAGGACATTCAAGTAGTCATTAACTAACTGTTGCTTATGATCTCAATTTGACAATGGAATCTCCTTATAAGTTTTTAGCACTTGTCCATCTGGTAAAAAGTAGTTATTCCAGTGTGGCTCATAGAGCCCCTGTCTGATATCTTTTAAAAAAAAAAAAATCCTTAGGTATTAGTAAGCTGTTATCAGTGGTGTTGGCAGAACCTTGGGAATATAGTTAAGTATTAAACTGTCTAGAAATACTGGTTTAATGTTTGATATTCCTCAACTTGCTATATAACCATGGGGAAGCGGTGGGGAAGAAGAAAGTTCTTAAAAGCAAACATGTTTCAAATGCAGAAACATTGCTAGCCTAAACTATATAACAAATGCCCCTTAGTCTTCTCCAGGAGATGAGCTGGGTGGAAGAAAAGTAATTACAGTTCCAGAGAGTGTGGCTGGTTAATATTAGAGCCTTTGAATAAAAATGTAAAGTTCATCCAAATGGTAACATCAGCCAAAAATGACTGACCCCAAAGCATCTCTTTTTTTCATAGCAGCCTGAAGTGAATAAACTCAGCTTTGTTGGCTCAGCTTCTTGTCTTTCACATTCTGTGAACTAAAACAGTAGTGTTTGTAATCTAAAGGCTAGAATATTTTTCTAGCATAAAATGCAGGGTTCATTTTAAAACTGCTCCGCTTGATCTTAATAAACCACTTAACTGCTGAAGAGCTAATACATTAGGCTTTAATGTATACAGCTTAATGTAGTTTAAAATGCTGTAGACTGGAAGAAATAAATGAAATTTATTTTTATATTCTTAATGCTTTGAAAAATCAGCCAAACTTACATTGTTTTTTTATAGCAGCAGGCAAGCAGCGCTCATTTGTAAAGTCCAGCTTGGAGCATGAAAATAATCTAACCTGAATATATGGCTGGCTTGTCTTGCACTAAAAGGTGTTCTGCAGGACTACAGAAAAATTAAGTGATATTCAAAATTAAACTAGCAAATTGCTGTCTATTGCAAAGCATTATGGTACGCTTCTTTGAGGGCACTGAGAAAAGTGTGTCATTTCAGTAACTATTTTGAGCAAATTAAAAAAAAAAAAAATCCTGGGCTATGTTACATTGTGAACTCTCAAATTCTAGTGTATATGCTGGAGAGGTGGACATGTTAAAATGAAATTCTGCCTTTAGGAAGAGGAACACTAAATTGTAATCACGCTTTAAAATATGCAAATGTAACAAAGCACTTGCCTTCTGTTTAGGTAAAATTGTTGGTAGATAGAGGGTGGGACTGTACATTAAATTTAAGTGATATTTCAAAGTAATTCCTTTCCCCTTCCTTTAAATTTGTGGCATACAAGTTTGGCTCTGATTAAAACTTGTTCTGATTTGATCATGTCAATGTAATGTTTTGACATATACTTTGGGGACTCAAAGCTCTTCACACATACTTATTTTTAATATTCCTATTAGTTAGCTCCATGCTATATGGTGTCTTTTATGCTCCAGGCGGCCTCTCTAGATTGTTTTGTAGTATGATCAAAATGTCGTCTTCCGTATTTATATGCTCTAATCGATATGACTCTTGTTTTTTACAGGTGCTGTGAGCGATGTTGAGATGCAGGAACATTATGATGAATTCTTTGAGGTATGTAAAAGATGTAAAAATGCATTAAAGCGTTCGTGGATTTGTCACAAATGAGTTAGATGAATTCAGTGTATAGCACAATTAGATGAATTCAGAGAAAAGCACTTGTTTCCTCAGGTGTTCATATAAAACTTACAACTTTCAGTGCTAAATATTTCCCGGTATAACCTTTGGTTAGTTTGGCTTTAACTTTATAATAGACTGTTTAAAAATCAGCAACTTAAGCGATGTAGCATTTTGATTCCATAATCCCCTTCTTTCCTGTAAATTTAAACTATACTTAATTATTTGTATAGAAGCAAATTAAGTAAAACTATAGCATCAAGCCTTATATGTAGGGTTTTCAGTGCATCTTATGTAATTTCTGTAAATACTGTATGCATATTGTTTTCTGTAGCTTTTTATTGTATCCTGTTAGTGCTGTACTTACAGATGGACACAGTACGGGCCAAGCAAGTACTAATTTTAAAATCAGAAATGTAAAAAAAGGTTTTTTATTTTGCTTTTTTAAGGAAGGCCTTCTTTTGTACTTAGTAACAGCTAAATGCAGTACTTCTGTACTTATAAAAACATGCTGCAAATTTTTAATTGGTTGCTTTGTGTTTAGGAGGTCTTCACAGAAATGGAAGAAAAATATGGTGAAGTTGAGGAGATGAACGTTTGTGATAACCTTGGAGATCATCTAGTTGGAAATGTATACGTAAAGGTAGGATAAAGAGAGACATGTTTATATAATCAGTAGGGGTGGTATTTATTGATATATAATTTTAAAAGCTACTGTATGCCTGTAGATTTTGTGAGAGTAGCTCTTCAGGATATAAGCTCCTCTCCAACTTCACAATATAAAGTAAAAAGAGTGAAAATGTGAATGGAGTCTGAAAGAAATTTTAAGAAATGATGAGAGGCTTTCTTGATAGTCAAAGTCTGTGTCATTTTCATAAAGATTAACACTTGGTTTTTTTACATTGTATAAACACAGTCACCACTGCTGGACTGTTTAGTTTGCCAGGATTAATTTGGGGTCTGTCTTCCCATCACACCGCCTTTTAAGCACTTCAATATGAGCAGAGGTTTATTCGCAACAGGTGTGTTTATTTTCAACAGGTGCATTTATTTTCTAACTTCCCAGTTAAACAAAACATCTTGTAATCAAGTTACATTTGGCAGTAGCTGGCTGGTTTAGGGTGCAAACTGGAGCACTTATGTTTAGCTCTTAAAAGTCATTGGTATCTCTTGAGTACTGAGTACAAAGTTGTCACCTGCGGAAATCTTATTGTGTGTACACAGTGTTGGGGAGGTGTGAGAGAGTTTGTTTTAATATTTTTACTGTACATTCCTGTAACTGGAAGGTATTTTCATGCCCAAAATTCTCAGCTGTGTATGTCATAATCAGAAATAAAAGTTGTTTTTAAAAATCTGCAAGTGGTTAGCTGTGAAAAGGAATTTCAGATTAAGTTTTACATTCATCGTAAAACAGGATCAGATTTTTGTAAATTCTAATTTAAATGAATGAGAGCTTCAGTTCTCATGCAGATTTCTCTTAAATGTTTGAAAAAAACCCATTATACTTGGAGCATTGGTGTTCTAGAAAGTACTCTTAAGCATTCTCTTCGTTGAAAGTTGTACTAAGAAAACACAGTATCTTCTATCGTATCTTTTAATACAAGCCACAAAACTTGAAAGACCAAGTAGAACATAAATAAGAGAAAATATCCATGTTTTGATTAGCTCTGAGTCCTGATTAATGAAAAGCTAGTGTCTCTGCCCTTGATTTGATGGACTGTCTCAGGAACTCTGAAGTAGCTTCTACTTTGATTACTAGTCCTAAGCCTCAGATATCACGCAATGGATTTGATAGGAGTCTTTGATCTACTTCTGTTGCTTCTCTATAACATGAGAAAATGTTAATTTGCTTTTAGTTTCGCCGTGAAGAAGATGCAGAAAAGGCTGTGATAGACCTGAACAATCGCTGGTTTAATGGACAGCCCATTCATGCTGAGCTTTCACCTGTGACTGACTTCAGAGAGGCCTGTTGCCGTCAATATGAAATGGGGTAAAAAGTGACTTCCTGTCTGCCTATGGCAGTCTCTTCGAAATGCTTGCACAGACAGGGTGGTTGCTTGGGTGTGGCTTTTATGCGTAGCTTAGCATAGCAAGAAAACCACTTCAGGTAATGTTATTATGGAGGACCTGCAGTCAACCTCTTGACTTCTGCCATCTTTTTAGGATTTTGATCTAGGAGTGAGTCAGTGTCAGTAAATGGTGCTTTCAATTTACTGGTTTTATTGTTAGAGGTGATTAACTTTTAGATGGCTAGAGGTCCACTAGGGCTTAGGGCAAACAGATACAGTGTAGAGCTGGGAGTTTCAACTGTCTCTTGAATTTTGTTTCAGAGAGTGTACACGAGGAGGTTTCTGCAACTTTATGCATTTGAAGCCCATTTCTCGAGAGTTAAGACGCGAGTTGTATGGGCGTCGTCGTAAAAAGTAAGTTTGCTGTAAACACGATTAAAACAGGTAAAGTAAGGATCGGTTGCTGAAAATTCTGAAGGCAAACCTTTAAACTTAAGACCTCTCTTGTTTTTTCTGATGCAGTTCTGACACATGCCAATGAAAGGGCATCAAGTAAAGCTAGAAAGTGGCCAGTTTAGAACCGAGGAATAGGTCTTTCTTTAAAAAAAAAAGTTATGGTGCTGCTTGCTCTGCGGTGCTGGGATGCTGAGGGTTGATGTGGCTTTAAGAGAAGGCAGGGTTCAAGGAGAAGAATATTCACTGGGTTACTAAGTACATAGAACCTACCTGTGGTTCAAATCTCCAAACTGCGAACTGTTACAGGCGGACATTATTTGGGAGGAGTATTGCTTTATGCCTCTTCTCTGTTTTATTGCCTTCTAAATGTATTTGCTTGTGGCCTCTGTTAAAAGCAGGCTATACTTGGCTAATGAGCACTTTGGCAGGATCAGATTGGCCACTTTCAGCATTATGCACAATCAAGCAGGTCTATAGATCATATTCAATACCCAGCCTTACTTGTTTTTAACAGTTAATGGCTAACTTTCCTAGCCCGTATTCATTCCTTAGTGTTAGTAACAGGTGATCACTGTATTGAGCTCACTTTTTATTAATACTAGCCTCACAATGTGACCCTTCTTGATAGGAATTTTCAGTAGGGCAAAGGAATAGTAATTTTGTTTAATGGCAAAAAAAGATTGTGATAAATACATTTTATTATGTATTTATATTAAATTATTTATTTATTAAGGTACCTTGTAGAAAGGCTTATACCAGTGCTGTTACTATGATACCTGTCTTGTGGATGGTTCACTTTGAGCTGGATTCAATCTGCTTATGTTTAGGACCTTGCTATTTAGGATAGGCATGTAAAATTGTTGAGCTTCTTTTTATATAGAGCACAATTTTGTAGGTTTCAATCATGGAAGGAGCCTGGGATTGTGAACATGTTTTTCCTATAAATGTCTTTAATTGGCAGTGTCTTAGAATTTGTGAGGATGAATTTAACTTTGGAAAATGCAGGTTGTGTTGCTTAGACATAAGTATTTGTGCCTAAATACTTCCATAAAATAGCCCAATTAATATTAACTTAAACTGAAATATAAGCTTTTAAGATGTTAGAATGACTTATGAAAAAGACAAAGTATGCTCTTGTATTAGCCTTTTGGTCACTTCTATGAATCTGAATCTGGATCTCTCGGGCTTAGTAAGGCTAACTAAAAGGTATCGCCTTTTATTGCAAGAAAGATCAGACTTACGTGTTTGGCTTTGGAATATGATTGTTTTGCCCATAGCCCAATTTCAGTCTGTGGCAAAACAAATAAAATAGCTGAATCCTCCATCCAGTTTTGTCTTTATTGGCCCTATTTAAATTCTTTGTGCAGCTAAAGCTGTCACAGGTTAGCAGTAAGGCTCAATATAAAAAAAAAAAAAACAGTTCTTGTGTTAGTGGGGTTTCACAGGTAGATTGTAGACCTGAAAGTAGTTCTACACAGAATGAAATACATCAAAGTTTTTTGAGTAGAAAAAAGGAGGGTAAACCACAACTTTTGAATAATAGGTTAATTTAGTAATTCTGGGCAGCTCAATGGTATGCAAGAGTTACATATGTGTCTCTTGTCATAGTAAAATTTGTCACCACCCACACTCCCACCCCAAAACATCTTGCCGTGGAACAATATTCTGCAAACTTAAGACTTGTAGCATTCGTTTCCCTGAGCTTTTTAGTTCTGCTGTAATTCCTACACCTATTTAAAACTGTACTGTTTACCTATTTTATAAAATTGACTTTTCTAAAATGCTTAAAAACATTCAAACTACTCTTTTTCCTTGACAAGTGCCATATAAACTATAAATCCATAGTAGCTGTGTTGGCAGTACATTCTGGGTGGTTTTAGCTTTCTTCCTGAATTTAAGTCATTGACCTCAGAGGCAGGGAAGATTATTTGCAAATACTAATAGCTTCTGGAAGTGGTGGGGGGAGAAGCAAAAAAAAAAAAAGAGAACTGAATTGTAATTGCTAATTAATGCAGTTGATTTAATAGGAGTGGACTTACAAACAGCTGTAGGCTTTTGCTGTGTGTTGTTAAAAGCTATTCATAACTGCAAAAGCAGGTGTCCCCTTCTTTTGCTGCTTTAATTAACAGCTGTGTAAGTGCATTTGGTTCCTCTGTGTGCCTTTGCTTAAATTTTCCACACCCGTTATAATGGATGACTGGCAGTGAACAGTTGAGTCTTTTAACAGTGTGTGTTGACTCCTCGGTATTAATTTTGTTCAGTTTGTAAATTCATGGTTTTGCAGCCTAAGTGCCAATTTACCAATCCTTCTAATGCCACGTTGTCTTTCTTCTCCTCATTACTTATATCCTTTAAATGTTCTACTGTGTGGTACTGCAAGTAAATTGCTGAATGTGATGAAACAATAAAATGTTCAAACTTTCTTTGAAGGCATAGATCCAGGTCGAGGTCCCGTGAACGTCGGTCTAGATCCAGAGATCGTGGTCGTGGAGGTGGTGGTGGAGGAGGAGGAGGACGTGAGCGCGATAGGAGGCGGTCAAGAGATCGTGAAAGATCTGGTCGATTCTGAGCCATGCCATTTTTACTGTATGTCTGCTAGAAAGTGTTGTAGTTTGACCAAACAAGTTCATAATGAGATTTTTTTTAAAGATGGGCTTCTGAATAAAAAATTTGTAGTGATACAGTATTCTTTGTGTAACTTGTTTCTTGTGGGGGGAGTCTTTTTAACTGTCATTCCTCTATCTTGACAAATACCTGGATTAACTATGCCTGAGGGAAAGGTGGTAAATGTATTGGAGGAGCGCCAGTTTTGGTTTTGTTTTTTTTTTATTCGGGTATAATTTGAACTGTTGATGAAAATGTGTGTGTATATAATATAAAATATTATATACATAGTAAAAATAATATACTGCTTAAGAAACAGTTACTCACATAAGTTTCCCTTTTCTGCTATGCTGTCTGCTTATTTAGGTTAGTTTAGGCACATTTAAAAGGAAGGCTGTGCAAAATGCATTTATTTACCAAGTAGAAACGCTTAGTTACAAAAATGTATGTTTGTTTGTTACCAGAAGTCTGTGCGCTGTCTATCAATGTGACTGTGGCATTTACAATAAATCCAATTTCTTGGTGTAAAATCTAAAGCCTATTTCCTAAGCACTCTGGAGTAGTTGAGTTGCTACTCCTGGCTGTGCCAGAGTTCATAGTTCAATTTTTTTATGATTCTTCACTAAATTCCTTGTCTTTGGCTGGAAAGAAAGTTGCCTAGAGCAGTGTGGAAAAAAAAGTAGTATTTTTATTGCAATGATTTGTAATAGGTAGGCAGGTGAGGTTTTTAAAAAAACTCATGCTCCATGCAACATGATACATAGGATCTATTGAAGGAAATGCAAGGTCCTAAATACAAGGTCCAAATTTCTTAACAGACTGGTTTTTTTCACTCTATGTTCTCTTAGCTGTCATTTAATGAAAAGCATTTCGTTAGCCTTCAAGGTCATAGGAAACTAATTGGATGCTAGTAGAAAATAATTTTTTTTTCCCACCTTTACTTGCTTTCTGATAGTCTGAAGCGTGATAAAAGCTAATGGACAGATGGCAGTTCCTTCTCAAACAAGACATCTTTCTTTTTCTGTCTGAGTTTTAATTGAATTGCACAACAGCTGTGTATCGTAGGTTGTGTATCTCTTAAGGAGTTAACGCTCTAATTGAAATGTTGCTGGAACATCTTGAAAGGCAATTTGTACAGTGGCTGACTTGCAGTTTAACTTCATTCCAGTCTACTTTTATTCAACGTGTAACATAGTAAGAAATTTTGGTCAGTGGTCATATTTCTGCAAGATACAACTTTATGTACACGAAGCTACGTAATACAATATAGCTTTCCAATGGGGGAGAGAATTTACTAGTGCTCTTTTAGCTCTGAGTCAGATAACTTGCTAAATCATAAATCTGCTCCTTGATTATTTTTAAAAAAAAAAAAAAAAGAAAGGATATGGAAGCATTACATAGCCAGATTAACAAACCAGCTTCTCTGCCTCCAAAATAAGTATAAAACCATTTTGCTCACTGGAACTTGGAGTTGGCAAACAAAATAATACTGAAAAATGAGCTCTTCTAAATGAATCTGCTTTGCCTCTTACAACTAAATTCTTGCACCAATTCAATTTGAATTTATTTTGTTTGCACTGGATGGTTTGGCCAACCAGACTGTGGAACTTATTTTGCCAGTAATCTTTTCAAAGAAATGTAACTCTATGTGATGATGGCTTCATTGCTTATGTTTTGTTGCAAGTACATAAATCAAATTATGCTTTCTTTTCACTGGAAGAAATTGAGCAGGGCCTGGCAATAAGTGGCTGAACTGAAACCTGTGGTATTTCTGCTAGGCATTAGGAATTTAACATTGATAATTTAGTTCTTGCAGTTTACAGGATGTTAATCCAGTTCCATTTCCTCTTCAGTGAGATTTAGGATTATTAGTGAGCTAATTTAAATCTCAAACTCAAAAAGGTGAGGATAGTCTTTCTGTTTTTTAAAACAGTGTCTAGTATAATGTGGATACTATTTAAAAAGGTTTAAGATCTTTTTTTACACAGGTTAATGACATAAGCTGATTTGCTCTATAAACAAGTTAATTTTAAACTAGTATAAATGTGTCCCTATAACAGCTTTCATCTGTTTATCTAAACCCTGTTAAACTTCAGGTATACTTTTGTGTGAACAGATAGCAGAAGGTTGATTTCTCCCTCTCCCCCCAATACAGTTTTTCTTAAGAAAGCACTCTTGAATTCCACCAAATGCATCATTTTATGGTCTGATTGCACAGCTACCCAAAAATTAACCATGTAACTGGAATATGTCATAACGGGCACTGAAAGCAATGGATTTTACTGGATATTCGAGGGAAAAAAAAGTGCATTGATCATTACTTGATTGTGTAATGATTACCTAGAGACAGCATTCAGCATATAAACTAAGCTCATGACATATCATCAGTTAGGTTCCCCTTTTAAGACTATACCACCAGTAAAATTCATAAAACTTGAAATTTAAACTCCACAAATTTGGTTAAACACTTACACGTGGTAGTCCAAACTATTGGTTTATCAATACAAACCAAGTGGATATCCTACCTCCCTCTTCTATTGTTGCTCACAATGTTTTAGAATAAAATTTTTTCCCCCTCCTTCCCAAAGGTACCTATTTCTCAGAAATGTTTCATTGTTGACTCTTCTGTTAAACAGTGGATCTTAATTTATGGAATTCCTTTACCTCAAATAAGTGACAGCATACAGTATTTTCTGAAGTCTGAGTCAATTAGGTTGAAAATGTTAATCCCAAGTGGCTTCCTCTTCTTTGTATTTGGCTCTTATTCTGTGAAAATGCTGCTTGTCCATGAATATGATGTATGTTGAGACTGTAAAACCAAATGGAGAAAACTTGTTCAAAATAAAGCCTTTTTTTATAAGAATCTGACAAAAATTATCCCTTTCCTTTAGATGGGATGCTGTTCTTTAAATGACTAATGAGGACATAGACTACAAGTTTCAAAATTTTAGCTCTTGTCTTGAGGTATTTTTTGAATGATTCTTTGCCTTCTGTTTTTTAGAGCTGGTGGAGCATGTCTTCAACTCAAAAAAAAAAAAAAACAAAAAAACAAAAACAAAAACAAAAAAAAAACAAAAAACCACCCAACCAAAAAAAAAACCCAAACCCAACCAAAAAACCAACCTCTTCATATTTACTTGACAAAGTTGAAGTATTAAAAGAGTGCAACTTGGGGTTAGGAGTTGGGGTTTTGTCCTGGGTTTTTTTTTTTTTAATTGGTAAGGGTTCTGGTTGAGGTATCCTGCAAGTTTCTGTTGCGGTGGTCTGTAGAGAACAAGAAGGCTCATTTTTGACGGAAGGAGTTTAATTGAAGAAATGAGTAACTCGGAGGGCTCATAGCTTTTTAAAGATGATTCTTCATAGTGTTGCATTGCTCAAGTTGCAAAACTTTGGGCGTTAACAACTGTGTCCATTGCCACTATTTTACAACAGCACCTTAAACTGAATAGACTGTCTTTAATATATTAGAAATGAAACTGCTTTCACAGCAGTTGGGGGGAGGGAGGGGATGTTAATCACTCTGTTCTCCAAACGCTTGTAATTGCTGATGCTGCTGCATTGATGACTGCCCCAAAAAAGTCTGATTCAGGAAAAGTCAGAGCTAAAAAATGGAACCGAGTTGGTGTGCACTCACTTCAGCTGGTAAGGAAGTAATGCCTAATAGGCAAGGCTATCATAGAAGAGAATATTTGTAGCTGTATTTTCCATTTATTGCAAGGATGAAGCTGAGCTTCATCACTCCAATTTTACCTTGGAGTGCATTTTGAAAAAAACTTAAAATTACAGCCAAATGTCTGCAAAATAAATCAATACATCTTCATGTTGAATTGATACATGATGCATTCTAAAACGGTGCACAAGTACTTCTGAATTCATCTGATTAGGCCAATGTTACTTTTTTTACAAATGTCTCCAAATTATTTTTCTTTCTGCAATATTCATTTTGTTAAATCCACACGTATGGAAAATGGGGCACGTCTGCTAAACTATGTGGACAATCCTTCTTTGTCAGCAAGGCGCTTATCGGTCATAAGCATCTAATCCCCTGTTAATGCATGTCATGTTTTATTTCTTATAAAATTGTAACCTTCGGCAAGAAGAACCACTAGGGAAAGGACGCTGCTATCCTATACCGCAGTCCCGTAGTACTTCCGCAGCAGTGGCAGAGCCACTTTAGAAGTTCCCCATTTTCCTGCTGGAGGTTACTGCCAAAAAAGGTGTTAATTGAACTGATCTAAAATTTCAGCTGTAAATTGGATATGTGGAATCGGGTTGAATGGTGGAAGCTATCGGGCCAGATCTGCTGCCAACAGACCAGCTCTGGTAGCCTGTGGCTTCATTTCAACATGCAAAGTGGGAGGGGGAAGGTTGCGCTTATCCCATCTCTAGCTGTTAAGACCCGAATGCCTACTTCTTAGCAGTGCTCCGATAATCATGGGGTGCGGTACTTTTTCATAATTTCAGTTCTGGTGTTTGCTTTCTAACTAGATCGCTTTGACAGGAGTAAAGACAAGTTATATGCCTTCGTACGTTAGCAGAGCAGGAAGGTGACAACTTCTGATGCAATGGCGGGATGCTGGGGACAGCAACTTCTCAGGTGAGTGGGAGCCCTGTAGCAGCTTGTGTGAGTATGGTTGCCCCTTTGATCCAAGTATCTTAAAAATATTCAGAGCTCTGCCAGCTGTTCCCACTAGGAAGAGAAAATCAGTATGATTCAGGTATTCCTTTGGGACAAACCTATGCATTTTTGATGAAAGTATGCAGAGTGCTATTTTCCTGAGCGCTGTGAAATCGGTGGGCTGTGGGCTGCTTCCAGCTCTCAGTTTCCAAAGCTGCTCTTTTAGTTAGGTCTGGAGGGAAAAAAAAATTTATTTCTGCTCTGGCTTCAGTGAGCCGCAAGACAAAATGGGGAGAAAGGCAGCAGGTAGCAATCAAGCCGGTCTCCCTGCCTCTTCGTTCTTCACAGAAAAGCCTTTAGTCTACCAGGCTGAGGCCTGCTGTGCTTTTGCCAGCACCTGGCTTGATTTCAAGTCTTGCTACCTATGCAGCTGAACATTGGACGTGTTTCAGACCATTCTCACTTTCTTCCTGGAGCTAACTGGGATTCCAGCCAGGCGGAGGCAGGGAGGGAGGGAGGGAGCTGCTCCCGCCGCAGCCCGTGCACCAGCCTGCCTCCTGGGCCTGAGAGCTGCCGGAAGAGCCAGGGGCAGCGACCACTCCTACCTTTCCTACCCACCCGTGTCCCTTGAGAGCTAATACTGCTCCTGTCTAAGAGAAAGATGAGAGAAGGCTTTGTGGATCAAAACAGTCCTGCATCTTCCAACATTTCCTCTTCCTTCCTCCTTCCCCTCTAGTGAACACAGAGGATGCTTCCTCTCTGCCTCCTCTTGTGTTGGTGGAGAAAAAAGCCCTGGAGCTGCAGGAAGAAGACACTTGATAAAGGGACTCTGAGGCGGGACATGAAGAACTGATTTCTGGACAAAGCACAAGTGGAAAGTGAGCAGACAGCCCTACTGGCTCCAGATTGCATGCAGTG